CAGGGTCTTTTCTAATGAGTCAGCTCTTCACATCAGGTAGCCAAAGTATTGGTAATTAAATTACATTGAGAAAAATTGCATTTCAGCTGGGGATGTTGGAAAGTCTCTCTTATCTGTTACACAAGGGTCCCAAAGGATATGCTTAAGTCATTTAAAGCCAAACTGGACCAGGTATTTGAGAACATAAGAGAAGAAATAATTTTAAATGGGGGGGGGGTGATGTTAGCAAGGGAAGAGATAGCTATTTTAATTAGTCACATGTGTCCTATTGCTTTGAAGGGTTGTAAACACCTCACTTCCAACTCTAGCTGGGAAAGACAGACCATCAAGATTCTAGTGACTCAGAAAAGCAGTATCATCGAGAAATCTAAGTAAGCTTGGCATTATTTACCCGCCAAATTTACTTTGAGATGTGTTTGGTCAGCTGTGCCTGGCTTCTGTGACTGGCTGTATTTGTCCAAAGGCTAATTAGCTCGAAGGATAGAAAGATCCGTGAGTTAACGCATAATCTCGAGTGACTGATGAAATCTAACTGCCAACTGGTACCAGAGCAGATACTTCTTCTTTAAAGGATTAATAAGGCATGCTGGCTATTCTCAAATATTAGCCTTTGCAAGAATAAGACAGGATAAAACAAGAGAAAAGATGATGAGAGATTTTTTTCAAAAACTCACTTCAAACATGTATATGGTAATTTCACAAATAAAACTTCCAGAGTTCCAGAGGAGCATGCAGGTAATACTTGATAGGTGATTCATGGGTCCGAGGTAGTTGTTCTTTTGATCTCCAATAAGAACATTTCATTGCTGAGCACTTATTATGTACCAAACACTCTTTCACATGGTATTATCTCTGTTGGTTCTTACAATAACCTTACAAGGCAGGTACTATTAATCTTCTGTGAGTCCTCATGGCTCAGAGGGTAAAGAATCCACCTGCAAGGCTGGAGATCCGGGTTAGATCCCTGGGTCAGGAAGATCCTCTGGAGAAAGGAATGGCTACCCACTCCAGTATTCTTGCCTGGAGAATTCCATGGACAGAGGAGCCTGGTGGGCTACAGTCCATGAGGTCTCAAATGTTACTAGACAAGTTTAAACACCCACTTGTCTAGTACAACCCACAGTCAGGGCAACTAAAGCACAGTACAGACTCCCACCAAGTCTGAAGGTACAGCATGAAAAGCCCACCCTTCTACCTTCTCAAAGAGCACTGCTGGCTGACAGAAAGGCCAGCACAGAGGCTCATGAAGGGTATTTCTGATCTGAACAACTGAGCCCAAATGTCTAAGAAATCACTCTTTAGCACTGTTCTATTGGAGTCCCACACTTCCATCAGCTAGCCCTTGAGGCTGTTGGAGAATAGGTTGATTGAGGGGTGACATCTACACTTGGGGCTCAGTTTGCCCCGAGAAGAAAACAAATTCCCTCCATCAGTGGGTGACCTTGAACTATGCCCATCCCTGATCCTGTGTTCTAGAGCACTGGTCTCCTCTCTATTTTTAAAAAAATCTACATACTTTTTAACACATTTTTATATTGACTTAGGAAAATTTTTTATTGAAGTCGAAATAGTTGCAAAGAATATAATTTTCAGTGTATCACAGTGTTGATATTTAAAAAATAAAATGGTTGCATCGCTTTTAAAAGTGTATCCTTGAATATGCATACAAGAGTGATCTGATACCCATAATCGCTCATTTAAACATACATGAATAAGTTCTTCTTTAATAACTGGAAATTTTACATCTTCATTTTTCTCATTTAATACAGGTCAGCAAACTTTTAATATAAAAGGCCAAATATAACTTTAAGCCTTCCGGGCAGTCTCTGTCATACCTAATCAACACTGCCATTGTAGCAGGAGGGCAGCCACAGCCAGCACACAGACAAATGGCATGGCTGGGTTCCCACCGAATTTATTTACAAGAATAGGCCATGGCTTGGATTTGGCCCATGAGTCACTTTTGCCAACCTCTGTCCTAGAGCTCAAATTCTCATCCTGCTTCCCATTTTCCCCATTCTATCTTGATTCTACTCATAAATTGTTTTTTCATAATAGATTTTTATGCTTAAATATTAGCTGTTAATCATGCTATTGTACTTCTCTGAAACAGAATATGTGTGTGTGTGTGTGTCAACTTGGAAGTCATATATATATATATATGTCTTATATATATATGAAAGCCTCCTACACATATGTAACTTTTCAGTTGACCTGGAAGCCACATATATATATATATGACTTCCAAGCTGACGCAGGAGGCTTGGGAGCCAGAGGGACCTGGATTTGAACATCATGCTCCTACTTACTTCCCTGGTGGCTCAGACAGTAAAGAATCTGCCTGCAATGCAGGACGGAGAAGGCAATGGCAGCCCACTCCAGTGTTCTTGCCTGGAGAAGCCCAGGGACGGCGGAGCCTGGTGGGCTGCCATCCATGGGGTCGCACAGTGTCGGACACGACTGAAGCGACTTAGCAGCAGCAGGAGACCCAGGTTGAATGCCTGGGTCAGGAAGATCCCTTGGAGAAGAAAATGGCAACCCACTCCAGGATGCGTGCCTGGAGACTTTCATGGACAGAGAAGCCTGGTGGGCTAGTCCAGGGAATCGAAAAGAGTAGGACACGACTGAGGGACCGACACTTTCACTTTCACTGCCACTTACTAGACGGATCATAGCTAACTCTTCTACTCCTCTGTCCCCTTACCTGTAAAAGGGGATATAATGTCTTTCAACATTGCTGTTAGCACCATACTGAAACTACGTTAGGAAAAAAGGATGGAGACTGAGAATCACACTAAAGCCTCCCTGATTCTTGACTTCTATTCATCCTTTGAGTATACAGGGATGCACTTTTTGGTAAAAACTTGTATCCTGATAGACCATGGCATGTGGTTATTTAAAAATAATAGTTACACTAAAAATATTTTTTTAAAGTTTTGAGAAATTCCATTAAAAGGACCTAAGCATATGTTAAGTGCCTAGCACAGAGAAGGCACAATTCATATGCCCACTGAAACAAATGTTTCTAATATTACTCTGGCCTTGAAGCAAGTGACTGGGAGTGAGTTTATGAAGGACATAAATTAAGCAGGGGTGGAAGAAAACGATAGCTCGCTACACACAGTTAGTGTGATTATTGTATAGTTTCCTATAGTGCTCAGATATTGTGCTAAAAGATTTTCCTATCCACTGCTACTTATACCTCTGCCCAGGAGACATGGACTTGCCACAGTTCTTGATCACCACAGATGTATTATTTCTTCTTTGACAATTCTAGCAGTTCAGAAACCTCTGGTAAAGTGAAAAGAATCTGGTTCATCCAAATTTCACCTTGTAAGTTGTTTTGCAAAACTAAAAGAGTGCACAGCTCTTGTGTTTGCTCTTACAATTCAGATCTTCTGTGTTCATTTCTAACTCTGTGCCAGCAAGGCCATAAACGGAGACCAGGAGAAAAGAAGGCAGAAGGTAAGGACAGTTATTGGCCAATTTGTTTTCATCAATTTCTTTCAAGTTGTTTCCAAACAGCTCTTCCAAGGCCCCAATTTTTGAAAGTAGACATTTATTCTTTATGCAAATGGGCATGGAAATAAATGCATAAGTAAATGCATGAATGAATTAATGAATATATAAATAACTTGTCTGTCAGAAATTTTTGTTATCATAGCCTCTATATTTTAGGCAATTCCAATTTTGACACTAATGATTGCATTAAAAATAAACCTCTGTGCAGATTAATCCATAGATTGTCATAGATTATCTATGCTCACAGATAATACTAAAGCCTAGAACTCATACACAGTAGGCATTCAGCAAGTATTGATTGTTGAATAAATTGAGAGAGCAAGGAAATGTGGCCACAGTCCTTTGTTAACAGAGACATATTAGCAAGTCAATCAATTTCTCTGAGCCTCATTTTTTCTACTTGTAATAAGGTAACTGCGTGGTGCTGCTCTCCGCTTCCCATCCATGGGACCACTGGGTCCAGATGCAGAGCCCTGGTAACTACCCCCAGAACCCCCAGGCTGCCACCAGATGAAGTTTATTTGACATTCTGGGACTCAGGTTTCCTCAAGACCTAGGATGTTAAGGGAATACAATAAACAGATCACCAGATGTTACAAAGGAAGAAACCACACCTTCTCTCTTGACAGAATGTATAATTCAGGACTATGAAGTTCGTGGCTGGTGGTGGTAGAGGGTGGGCAGGGGAGGGGATGAAAGCTATCAAGAAGTGTCTGAGAACTTGCATATAGAAGAACTCAGAATATACATGCTTTCAAAGCTTTTTATTATGTTTTCAAGAAGAAGGACAGAATTGGTGTTGTATGGCTAAGGCTTGGCTATCCAGAAAGATTTATGGGCCATCTGCAGAGACCCAAGAACATCTTGACTTACAAATGTAAATGCCACCAATTATTTATGGCAGTTCACAGTATCCCTGAATGCCACAAGGCATCTGCCTAGAAGCACAATATCGTTTGATCTTGACTGGCTTCCAAAATCAGGAAAGTATATATCATCATCCTGGAGCTTCTGGTACTCTGCCTTCAGAAACATCTTCCCAATTATCCTTCCTCGGAAAAACAAGGCTGAGTCGTTAGGAGATATTAGATTTGAAATAATAATAGTAATACTTTATGTTATAATTCACAAAGCACATGGAATATGTTAATTCATTTGTTCTTTAGACATTTCTATATGTCAGATTAGTATAGATAATATTTATATTTTATCTGTGAGGGAAGAAACTACTAATAATTGGAGAGGTAACATGGCAAGACCTAAATCTTAGTAGTGGCTAAGCTGGGACTTTTATCGGGCTTTGGTTCTAAGAGCTTCCCTGGTGGCTCAGTGGTAAAGAATCTGCCTGCCAATGCAGGAGATGCCAGTTTGATCCCTAGGTCAGAAAGATCCCCTGGAGAAGGAAGAGACAACCCACTCCAGTCTTCTTGCCTGAGAAATCCCATGAATTACAGTGGACTTGTGGGCTCCAGTCCATGTGATCACAAAAGAGTTGGATACAACTTAGCGACTAAACAACAAACAACACTTAGAGCACTTCTAAGGGCAGTGCTCTCTTCTGGGTGGCCTCCAGCACGAGCAGAGCTGGGATAGCCTCTGTGGTTTAAGGAGAATGACCCGAGAGCAGACAGCAAGCTCCCTGGTTGTCCAAGTAGAGAATCTCCCATAGCCAAAGAGTTTTGAGCTAGAAATTCTATGAGATATGAAAAATAAATGGCTTCCACCCAAGGAGTATAATCATACTGTTTTCTCCTTACGTAGTGCATTATAGCATACTAACCACTCACACAGGCATCACTCTAATTTTCATTCAACAGCCCTGTGAGTTATGCATCTTTACTTCTATTTTAACAGATAAGGAAAACTAGGATTCATAAAGGTAAAATAATCATCTACATAGTGCTTGGAAAACTCAGTATGGACAGGGATGGTCCATAAGGTGGTCTTTGCAAAGCTTGTTGGGTCTAATTTGCAAAGGCATTTGAGCCTGGCTCATGGAATCAGTGAGGGCTTTTGCCCCTCAAACCCGAGCACTCTCTATAGCTGGAGGGGTGTGGCCCTGCTTCCACTCTTTGGGATACTAGAAAGAGTACCAATGGACAGTACCAGCATAATACCCCCCAAACCCGAGTCTCAAATTAAAGGCTTAATGTTGAGGAGTCTGGGGGAGTACCAGTGTCGGTGACTTTCAGACACTTCCTGCTTTGAAATCACTCTTTGCAAACGATAAAGCTTTTGAAATGCAGATTTCACTTTACTGGCCCGTTAGACAGGAGCAGGCTCTGCATCACCTGCTGGGACCTCTGGGCTGAGCTGGCCCTAGATAGAAATGATTTGTCCCGAGAGGTTCTGACTGAATGAAAGCCAATAGCTGATGGGTGCTTCATTCCAACCAGGCAATTGGATGTTAGAATTGCCCCAGATGCTATCTCAAATGTTCAGCTAGAAGAATTCCAACCAAGTCAGAATGAAATTTTATTTCATTATGCTTCCAGGTCTGGGAATGATGCCAGTGAACTGCTCTCCTTGACAGGTCCCTCATCACTTTGAGCTCAACGCAAGAGAGAAGTGAGCTCCCAAAGTGCCAGGCTGCAGCCCTCCCTGTCAGATGGCAACACCTCCATGGAACAGCTGAGCAAGGGGCTGAGGCAAGAACTGTCATTCCCTTACCGCTGAAACCCTGCATACTGATGATAATTCCCTGTATGTTCCTTTCCAAAGTCTTACACAAGGCATCGAGCTGATGAAGCAACCTAGGAGAGGGATAAAAAATCAGTTTCAGCTTTAAGCCATTTCTGATCCTTTGGCAGTGGCTGACTTAGCACTGTGTTAAGAAGGATTCTGAAGCTCTATCTGGGTACAATGGGAAAGACTACTATAATCAATGGAGCATGGGCCCTGCAGGACTGAATGTTTCCAACTTGACACATACATGACCTGGGAAGTAACCAAGTCTAAACTCCTTACCCATGTGAAGATGCTGAGGAGCATAAGGGTTAAGTGACTTGTAAAATTTAACTCTTAAAGTAGAGATGACAATACAAGACTACAGCTCTGTCCTCTACATGATACTTTTCTAGTCCTGACTTTCTAGATGAAATAAGCTAGTGAACTTCAAAATCCTGTGATAATGCAAAAGCAATTACTGTAATGATAATTTTACTTATGTAACATACAGCTAGTTCCCAGTGTCTCTGCAATTACTGAAATCCCACTGCACTTCTTTTCATTCATGATTGAGTGGATTAGCTCTTGGCTTGGCCAAATATCAGCAGATTCACATACCAAGTCATCTTGCTCTCAAGAATCAACACTGCCTATGGTTTAATCTACTTGGTTTGACACTGTTGTCTCAGAACAAAAAGATTAAGTCATGTCATAAAAAGAAAGAAGTTGCAAAGGACCCACACACTTTCACCCAACAGACACTTGTTGAGTGCTTAAATGCACAAGGCATTCTCCTTGACAGTTCTGTCCAACATGCAAGAAATGGGTCGAGTTGAACCAGAAGGCATCCCCACTTCTAGGGGTGGTATTTAATTGTATGGAATTTTTTTCCCTTCTCATTTTTTTCTATTATTTCTAAAAGAGCTCTTTATTAATGGAAGGTCTAAGAGCAACAAGCTTGGAGTGAGCTTTATCCTTCCACTGGCAGACTGGGCCGAAATTGTCAATGTCAGGATATCTTTAGGAGGCTGGAACTGGATGCTTCTAAGAAGACTTGTAGCATGATTTTGATCTAATTATTGAAGAGGTTGATTCTGTTTTCATGATTGCTTTTATATTTATAAAAAGAAAACTTTAGGCAAGGATGCCACCTGATGTCGAAGGTAAAGATCTTAAGACCAAATTAACTGCAGGAACTATCCAGTCATTAATTTATGTGGTGGTGTTGCTCAGTCGCTATGTTGTGTCTGACTCTTTTGTAACCCCATGGCCTGTAGCCCACCAGGCTCCTCTGTCCAAGGGATTCTCCAGGCAAGAATACTGGAGTAGGTGGCCATTTCCTTCTCCAGGGGATCTTTCTGACCCAGGGATCAAACCCATGTCTCCTGCATTGGCAGACAGGTTCTTTACCACTGAGCCACCAGGGGAAGTCCTCAATAACTTTTATAGGTAAGTAAAATTTGCAGAATTGAATAAGATGACATCAGTTAAATCATCCCTTAGCCTCAATTATGCAAACAGAATTATCTGTTTGCAGCAAAGTTACCTTCTTATTCTGGTTTGCTTAGCTTATTATTTAAATGAAATTCATGTTCCCTGAGCATATTAAGTTGAAGGAAGTAGTTCCAAAGTGCAGTGAAAGGCAAGTCCAAGATACCTGAGGACTGAAAAATGCCATGGATGCTATGTTGACTTCCTGCAATGGGGAAAGACACACCTTTTAACTCCCCCATGCCAAACAGTGCAATGGAGCAACCAAGATTTAGCTATATGCTGGATTTGACACATACAATGGTTAAGGGCAAAAGGTAAACACATCTGTGAATACTAATGTATGGCTTTTCTCTTTGTTAGCGGGGCAAGCCTGCTTGGTACCTTATGGAGGTAAAAGAGATCAAGGTGCCATGGCCTGATGAGTAAGTGAGAAATGTAACTGACCTAGTTTATAAGGAGAATTCTCTGAGGGTTCAATACTACACTGTCCAGGGGAATAGCCACGAACCACACATGGTCGTGGGAACCTTGAAGCATGCGGTTCATGAGACTATGCAGTTAAGGTGTTTTATTGTTTGTTTTGCATTTTTTGTTTTTGAAATTTGAAATTTTATTTAATTTTAACTAATTTAAATTTTAAAATTGATACTTCAGTTATTGGAAAACTTGTAAGTATGTTTAGAACAACTTCTGTTCCTGAATCTACTTTTGTAACTGTAAATTTTGTGAAATCTAAATACAGATTTCCCGTGAAAATTCAGTCTCCAAATTGTGTTGTGCTGTAAGTGTAAAATATATGTCAGATTTCAAAGACTCAGCATGAAAACCTTGAATATAAATATTTTGTTAATAATTTTGTAGTTTCATATAGAAAGGATAATATTTTGGACATATTGGGTTAAATAATATAATTTATTAAAATGAACAGATTTGGAGTTTGGGTTTTTTTTTCTTTTTACTTTTTTAACGTGACTACAAAAAAAATTAAAATTACATAAATTGCATTGTATTCCCACTAGACAGTGCTAGTCTAGAAAGAGATCTGCCATATTGTCTCTGGAGGACATTGTTTATTGAATGGTTATTAAATGTGTCTTCTACACATATGAATTGTTGCTGTTGCTGTCATGTCCAACTCTTTTGTGACCCCACGGACTGTAGCCCACCAGGCTCCCATGTCCATGCAATTTTCCAGGCAAGAATACTGGAGTGGGTTGCCATTTCCTTCTCCAGGAGATCTTCTCGACCCAGGGATTGAACCTGCATTTCCTGCATTGCAGGCAGATTCTTTACTGTCTGAGCCACAAGAGAAGCCCACACATATTAATACCTGGTGTAATACTAGAAACTGCATAATATTAGGCATGGATAACAAATAACCCATGTTTTTAAAAGCTGCTATTAAGACCCCTCCAGATTCCTTTTCCATATAGCAATGTAAGCTCGCTTTTATGCTGTAGTCTTTCATTTCTTTATCTGCCAAACTAAAAATTTTGAGGTCAATAATTTTTCTTTTTCCTTCTAGGAACCCAACCTCTCCTTCCATTTTTCATTAGTAAGTCTTCAGTGGAGGTTGCCAGTTTGCAAAACAGATAGAATGGAGATGCTCTGGTTAAAGTGCGAATTGAAGACTCACCTCTCTTCCACATTACCCCAGTCCTCTCAATGATGCCAACTCTGAGTGGCATATTTTGAAATCTATGCCACTTGATGATTTCCAGGCCTAATCTTGACCTTTCAGTTGCTTCTTCTTTGTATGTCCTCTGTCACTACCTGGAATCTTTCTGAGTGGGGGCCATCACCCCTGTTTGCCAAGTCTTCAGAAAGCATGGTAGCCCTGGTGATTCCCAGAGCCATTGAGGGTCATGCACACCCTGAAACTGGCTGCTCTATTGTTTCTGGCCCTTAACGACCCTCACCATTGCTATGGCAACTGCAAACCATTCCTGGCCAATGCAAGCAAAGGGCAGCCACGGAAGGGGTGACCTCCCACCTCTCACATACGGCCCAGGAGGAGCTGGTCTCATCTAGAAACTGACCCAGTTAATACCAGTCAAATAAATACTGCAGAATAAGGTGGCACATCACACAGGAACACAGTGTGGTGGTGGGGGAGGGGGTGGGGGTTGAACAAATGTAGCATTTTGGTGACAGGTTTTTACTTAGTTCAAATTTTTTTTTCTTAAATGGTATTATTAATAATTTACTCAACTACCCCACAGTGCTTTTCTAATTTGACTTTAATTATTGCAATGACTCTTTAATTCAACTCCCTGGGGTCTGACTCCACTAGTCAGACTAGATGGCCTAGGAGACCTCCTTCCACAACCCACTTGGGCTCTGTCCACCCATAAATTCAGCAGTGAGGTAAATCAATGTGTGTGAAAACACCAAGCACTTTCCAGTTTCTAGCTGGATAAATGGAAATAAGTTCTTTATATTTTTGGTGACTCCATCTCCTCACTTAGGAAGTAAGGAATACAAGAAGTCCTGTTGGGCTGCTATAAAGATTCGATGAGCTATTACATCTACATAAAATATATTGAACAGTGCCTGGCACACACTTACTGCTCGAGGCAGGTTAACTACCCCTGTTGTAATTGATTTTATTCCAATTGCTGGGAAAACTGGGGAATCTTACCATCCCAACTCAGTGCTGAATTTCAGGCATTAGAGTCAATGTATTTATATTCATTCTGACTTATATTGGGAAACTCTGACAGTCACTTAAAAATCTAAGGGAATTTACTTTTTGGTCTTTATATCTATCTTTCTTTTTTAAAAAAATATTTATTTATATATTTGGCTATCCTGGGTCTTAGTTGCAGCATGCAAACTCTTATTTGCAACATGTGGGATCTAGTTCCCTGATCAGGGATTGAACCTAGGGCCCCTGCATTGGGAGTGTGGAGTCTCAGTCATTGGACCATCAAGGAAGTCTCTACATTTACCCTTCTAATATGTCCCACATCATACAAATTCCAAGAAGAGGTAGTGGGAAGAAGCCTTCTCTTCTAGGAAAAAACTAAACAGTTACAAACATGCAATTATTTCTGGTCCCTGAAAGAACATTTTCATTTCAAGTCCCATAATTCTAGCTTCACCAACCCTCTAAGCTCAGGAGTGAAAAAACCACCATGATCTATAATGATTTCCAAAACTTTAAAATTCAGATCTTAGGTGAGAACATCCAGGGCCTCATTCAGACACCGAAGTCATTGCTTAAGCCAGCAGTTGAGTGAGACAGGGCTGCAGCAGTACACAGTGGGCCCATTTGCAAAAAGGAGACAATGAACTTGAGAGAGCATAATAAATTCTTGGCTAGTCATGCAGGGCAGAGATCTTACTTGACCCTGAAATGGGCTGTCCCCAAAATGTTATGTGTTTCGGCATAAAGGTATTTTCTTAAGCCAGGGGAGAGATTCATAGCTTTCAAATTCTTAGACTTCCCTGATAAAAAATAGGCTAATAACTACTCTTATTCTTTTCTTTTTTTTTTTTTTTTACATTTTGACTGCTTCCATAAAAGGCTATTTTTTTCTCTCATTTGTGCCAACAGGTGCCAGCACTTCACTCATATCAAATGACACTA